GCTCATTGGGTCCCTTGTCTTATACTGCGTGTTATTGGGAAGAAGGAAGACAAATGACCATTGCACTTGACAGTACTAAAAATACCTGTATATGAAATAATTATCCAAGTTGTAAAATAAGAACCAAATCCAAAACTCTGTAAAATACGAAATAAATATTTATGGGATAAAACATCGTAGGCTTTCCACATGTCTAAGGATAAGAGATAACCTTCAACATCTTCACTTGTTGCATAATCAATAATGTCTCTAATGGAATGAATGTTATCAAAGATACTGCGGCCAGGAACTGCGCATGTCTGTTCAGGCGAGACTAATGAATGTATAACCTTTCCAAGTCTACCAGCAAGGACTCTCGACACCAATTTATAGTCATTTTGGAGGAGAGAAATTGGTCGAAAGTTCTTCAAATCTTTTTTATCTCCCTTTTCTTTATAAATCAGTGTCAGGATGCCCCTGCCCATAGACCTGGAGAGATTACAATTAGAAAATATAACATTAATAACATTTAAAAACAATGGTCCTATTTTGTCCCAAAACCGAAGATAAAACTCAACTGTGATACTATCTAGTCCTGGACTCTTCCCAGTCCTCATACCTACCAAGGTTTCAGAAAGTTCAGACAGGGTAATAGGCCGATCACACTGCTCTCTGTCACTCTCTGTCAACTTGTTATTTATGAGGCTACATAGATGCTGAACATAATTATCATTATCATTTTCTGTAGGGTCTATGGTATATAACTGCTTATAAAATTTAGTACATTGATCAAGTATATCAGATGTTGTATTCAAGATTTCCCCATCACTATTTATCAATTCCTTAATGGAGTTTTTATTCTGTCGATGTTTTTCCAACTTAAGAAAATAGCTTGTGTTTTTGTCCCCCTCAGTGGCATTTATTGCTTTGCTTCTCAGGATTGCTCCCTGACATTTCTCATTTTCGAAATCTTTAAGTTGATTTTCCAGTTCAGTCAGAAGATTAGAACTATGCTTCGGATTATTTGCAACCTTTGTGTACTCTCTTTGTAAGCTATTTTGAATTTTATAGATATTTGCAGATTTCTCTTTGCTAATTTTACGGGAGTAATCCTGAGAAGTTCGCTTAACTTTATGCTTAAAGTTATCCCACCATACAAGTGGATTACTATATAACAATTCATTCTTGCTTTCATTATCAATTAAATTATTTATAATATTAACGTACTTACTATCTTGTAAAAGGGTGTTATTTAAAATATACACTCCTGGTCCTTTATCACAATCATTAAAATCAATACATAATTTCACAAGGCGAGTATTCTACCACTAGACCACCGATGCGGTTGCAGAGTCTCAAATTTATCCACTTTTTGTCTATCAGAACGGAAGAGAGGGGCTGGGAAAAGAAGACGAGAGGTTCTGGCGAGGCTCGAACTCGCCAGCTTCTGCGTGTAAAGCAGACGCGATAACCGCAACACTACAGAACCCCGTCTTCATATTTAACATGATCTGAAACACGAAATTGGCTACAAACGAGAATGGTTCGTCCAGGGGTAGAACCCCGGACCTCTCGCGTGTGGGGCGAGCATAATAACCTCTGCACAACCGCCCTTTTTGCCGCGACCAAGTGTCTGTTCAACGGCGGGTGGACTTGGCTTATTTGACAGCTTTCGGTCGTGTCCTCGGTAGTATAGTGGTCAGTATCCCCGCCTGTCACGCGGGAGACCGGAGTTCAATTCCCCGCCGGGGAGAGGACTTTTTTTTTGTTTCGTTTGGCTTTTTTTAAATTTTCATATTGAATTCCATGTTTTACTTTCCCGCCTCCGATTGGGCTAATGAAGAAGAGCAAGGCTATGCAGCGTGCAGTCGGGGTTTCAAACTGTCGAGGGATATTTAACGAACGAAGCAGAGACCTATTCCATGTCAGTTCCTATCGTCCTACATCGTTGACAGGGGGGGAAGCGGGTGGAAAGATCACAAGTTAACATTTCGACTTATGCCAGGAATTGAACTCGAGACCTTAGGATTAGCTAGCGAGCGAGCGTCAATGTCACTGAGCCATCGCGACGCCTCTTTTGAGTCTCGTATGGTTTTTTTTCCATTATTATTATTATTAGAAGTCGTATTGATATTGATATTTTTCTTTGCTATACGTCCAAAACTGCTGTCGGTCATAGTCAGGGTAAATCGCAGAGAGAAAACTATACAAGATGCAATGAGTGTTGACAACAAATGGAGCAACTTTGGGGAATTTTTCTGTGCCATGATCTCCCATGATATGAACAACCATTGAACACGGCGAGTTTGCATGCCGTCCAAGACAAGGGTGAAATCTGAAAAAAAAAGGAAAAGAGAAGTTCCTCTCCCATCGACTTTTGAGGCACCGGGGGGAATCGAACCCTCGACCTTCTGTTTACTAGACAGACGCTCTTTTTTTTCTTTTTTTTTTATCTTACTTTATCTTTTTTTATTCATTAACATATAAACATAATCAACATTTACAAGACATTCAATATCACAGAAATAATATCACAGATATCTTAAATTGATTTATGTTTGATTAAAATAGTAATGATTTAAAAACCATATAAAAGGAGACATTTGATTATAAAACTATTATATATAATTTGACAAATTTTCCCTATGTCAATGAAACTTTGTGGAGCCGAAAGCGAAACAAGTTTTAAAGATCTATTTGAAGGATGATTTTTAATAGATATTTTCCTTTGACATGAAAGCTCCAAGTGGAGCTTTAACAATATTAGATAGTGGGTAATTTCATGATATTGTTAGTTAAAAGTCGGCATCGATAGATCCATCTTACTGTATTGTAAAAAGACAAGAGGGTAAAATGAATTCTTTCACAAAATTAAGATTTCTGGTTTTATAATAACACTTTATATGATATAATAATGATACCCTACACTACAGAACCCTGTCTTCATATTTAACATGATCTGAAACACGAAATTGGCCACAAACGATAATGGTTTGACTGGGGGTCGAATCCCGGACCTCTCGCGTGTGAGGCGAGGGTAATAACCTCTGCACAATCGCCCTTTTTGCCGCGACCAAGTGTCTGTTCAACGGTGGGTGGACTTGGCTTATTTGACATTTGATCTTCCATGATATGAACAACCCTCGCAGCCCTGAAAGCAAGTTTTTCGTACAAAATCTCATAAGTTAGAAATGCTAGGTTAACTGTTTTGATTTATGTTTATTTAAAATTGAATTATTTTATAGTTTGATTACACTTTTGTTCACTATGATGTCCATATCTTGATTGTGTAAAGAGTTATGGCTCAAAAGTTTGTAAATAGTGCTTTTAAAATCACTTTTAAAGTAATGACTACAAACACAATTACTATCTAACTGTTTGCAAATAACGCAGTATATGACTGCATTTATTTACCATATTCTGAAGTCTGTGTTCCAATCTAATTAAATGCTTTGTTATTTGTTTGTTTTCTCTAGGTTATTACCCAAAACACGAAGCGAAACATCCACTGTAAATTAATCAGATTAATGTCAAGATGTCGACTTCCAACCCACCTGTAGCTTATTCTTTTCCGAAGAACTGGTGATATTTATCCGAGACCCCCGGACAGGCTGTGCACGTTAAAGACAGTTGGATATAGAAAAAAAAACGTTGGCTAATGCCGCTCTCCTGTTCATTATCCGAAGAAAAGGTGCAGAAAAGTAGGACGGACAACTCATTTAAATTTTCCTCCTGAGAGTCAAACACTCTATCTTGTTCAAGTGAACTTGGCTTTAAATATCAATTAACTATTGTCTAGAAATATCAAAGTGTATGAAATGATCAGAGTAACTACCCTTTGTTTTGTTATGTTTTTGTCGCATGAATGGTCGGGTATATGACCTATTTTAATGGTCTTGTCAGGTATGTCAGGTTGTCTGCGTCAACTACTAACAAACCAAGACATACTTTAAAACTACGTGATCCATGGTGCTAAGTTTCATGTTCATTGCAGCTTTTTAAATTTTGATTATGTTGCAATGAGTGTTATTTGATCGTTAATTGTATATTAATGGCGAAACCGTCAACAGGGTAAGTTATGGTTGATTATGGTAAGATGTTTACATATTACATTCGAAACATATTATATTCGATAATCATTTTATAATTACGTTTATGGCTAATACAAAAGGAGAGTTCTTTTTTTTAAATCATTGTGTGTGTTTTAGTTAAGAAATTTGTCATTGATATGTAACATGGTAAATATAACTGATTGTTAATTTAGTATAAAACTAGTAATTAGATTGTCATTTTATGTATATAGTAGGTGATATTTTATATTTTACATTAAAATTATAATAGTTTGATAATTTTCATTATCCTCAACCTATCAGCTAATCACACCTGTTGTATCCAAGTGATTGACCCCAGGTAACATTAGACAACTGGTTGATGAGTCGAGAGGCAGGTCCTCATAAAACTATAATGTTATGACCTACATCATTTTTGGAAGTAAGTACAATATGATTTCATAGTGTCCATTTTCATTTAAGTAAATTATAGTAAGATATAAATTATTGTAAAGTTATTATATTTAATGCATGTTCTGAATATTGAATGTACAAATATCCTAAATATCATTATGTTTTATATTGTATTTAAGAGATGGTGTATAATTTGTCTTTAGGCTACATTACAATACACTGTCAAGCTTGTGAACGTCGTTTCTTAATACATTATTGTGACAAAGATGTATAGTGGTGTTTTTAGGGGGTTGGCCATTGCCTCTCCCCCAGGCCCTTGAAATGTCTTATTTTTTAAGCTCTCTAAATGGACAAAATTCGTCTTAGGCCATCTCAAATCCGTTGGCTTCCAGACTTCTGGCTTCAAGGGGCCTTTGCCCTGGCGGCCTCGCCTCTCATTTTTGGCCCCCCACTTCAGGCATTTTCTAGATACTGTTTAACAATGTTGTCTATAATTTTGCGAAATGATTAACAGATTTAAACACAAATTCATACCAATCAGACGAGCTATATAGGATTTAATTGATACAAGCTCGCATCTTGAGAATGAAATGAATTCACTTGGTGGCTGATCAGGTCACAAATGAAGTGTCATCATCGCGGTTGTTGAGCTCTTTGTGTTGTTTGTTATGACAAAACTACCTTATCATACAGCTTGGATCTTAGCTTTATATTATTATACAGTATGCCTTGCAAATTGCAATTATAATAAATATATAGCTTCGCCCTATACGTTAACTACATTTCTGTAACAACTGAAAGTCTATCAACAATCCTGTAACTTAACACGAATAAAGTATTATGATTTTGGACAAACGACTTTTCGGAAAAATTTGCTATTTTTAATCAAATGTTTTGTTCAACTTCAATTTTTTTCAGAAACAGACGGCTGCATATTATCGTTACATACAGTTAAACAATGGAGATATCAAAGATCATCTGGATAAATCTTTTGCTTCTTACAGCATCATCATTTGGTAAATATATTTCTTCTTTTAACCAAGGTCAATACAACTTTTTTAAGACTACAGTACTATAACAAGGATAGTAATGTACTAAAATAATATAATTCTTGATTGACTTTTTCAGCTGATTTTCAGTTTACAGCACCAACAGAAAATTGCGTTACTGGAAACGAGTGTCCTTTAACATGCGGTCCAATAGATAGATCTCAAAATGTGCAATTCATTAGAGGTGATGCGCCATTACTAACCTGTTTGGCAAGATACTCCTATGAGTCTCCATGTTTGATTGTGCCAGGCAGTCCAGATCCTGGCTTTCGCACATATTTTGACACTCGGAAATCAGAAATTATAATCAAAGTAGTAATAAAGGAAAACGATGATAACAAATGGACCTGTAAAAATGGAAATCAAGAGGCAACTATTAAAGTAAAAACTGGTTGTAAGTAATTAGTTTTAAGTATTACAACATTTAACATATATAAAGAGATAAAACATGATCCAAAACATATGAAACTGTCAAAGAAATATTTTGTTATCAAACTTTGGATCATATGATTGCAAGCTTTTCTACCTTAAATTCTTGAATAGGTCATTTTTATTTTGACGTTTTAAGCAAGGTATCATGAAACTTAGATTTAGACTTAATTTTTGTTTATTTTCTAGATACATCTGTAGTAGCAAAGTTGACTTCATCTGCTTACTTTGGAACAGTAGGTCAGGAAGTGAATTTATTGTGTCAAGTAGTTGTTTACGGTACTACAACCTACGACCCTACCATGGTATCAACGTCTATAACTAGAAATAGTGATGCCAGCAATCTTACTACTACTGTTTCTAAGGGGCATTTCCTGAATTACAGAGCCACAACTAAATTAAAATGTACAGATCACTATTTTTCATGTTTTACTTTCACTGGATTTGGTAGACTGAGTAGTGATAATGTAGAGATTAATGTCCTTGAATGTAAGTAAGCCCACTACATGGATGCTGTATTCCTTAACTCTGAGTAAAATCATTTAACCCCAAAGACCAAAAGTTAATTTCACCGTTCTCCGAACTATGAAAAGTTCATTAGCTGCAACCAATGTATTGCAAATATGTTGTTGTGGATTCTTTGTTTTGTTTTGCAGTTTCGTTATGATTAGAAACATATCTATCTTATATCTGAATGCTGAATTTTCGAGGTTTGCGAAAATCAAATGGTAATTACCACTGGTAAATTTACTTGGCTTAACACACGGGCAACGAATACAACATAGTATTATTTATGATAAAATCGGTTGATTTTGAACACCTATTTTATTAAACTATAGTAAATACTTAAATAAAGACAATATTATATTTTTATTTTGCTCTGTGTATAGGTATAATTGCAACATACAGTGAACACTTTTCATTTGATGTAACTCATCGGTAGTAGCAAAATGAAATACATTCCACAAAACTTTAATCGCTTCTCTTTTAGGTCCATTGCAGATATTTTACGATATGATAACAACCAATGTAACAATTGAACAGGGTAAAAGACGTGATTTAGAATTGTACTATTCTGGTTATCCAGTGACGACCAGATGGTATAAAAATTTTCCAGAAGGTGATATGCCATTAAATAGAGTAAATAATGTCGTAGATCTACATATAGGATCTAGGAAAGAGATTATGTTTATTACCAATGCTAATTTTGATGATGCTGGACAATATACAGTACATGTTCGACAGAATGATACCGTCATTAAAGTTGTTTACCATGTGACCATTGTAATGCCAACAACTACTAAATCCAGTTATTTCACCACACACAAGACAAGCACCAATTACCCTTGGTTTTCAGGATCAGAGCAACCTAAACCCAATTATACTACCACCGAAATATATAACATCACCGAGATATATAATATCACCAATGCGCCTTACACGAGAAGCACCAAAATAATTAAATCGACAACGAAAGATGTAGAATTGAAACCCGTCGTTATTAAAGATAATAATAATGGAAGTTGTCAACAATTAAGTAGTTTAATGACTTTGGTCGTATTGGTGTTTTTATCATTCAACTTTTTATAGAATACACACCCTCAAATCACCCTATTTTATGGTTACAAGAAAGTTGAAACAAGGCCGATTCACGGGCTATATTCAAAGTCATTTGATGAAGAGTTCCTAGTGTGATGAAAATAGTTTGAAAATCTTACTTATTGCCATCGACTTTATCAATCAAAAATCTATTAGTCCCATTAATGGAACACCCTAAAAAGTATATTTATATTCACAAGGAGGAATGATATCTCGTAGCTCTTGATTGTGGATTTTGCAACATAGTGCTCACAAATGTACATATGGCAATAAACATGTTTTTATATTATTAATTATTGTAGTGTTTCATTATACTATTAGGTGTTTAAGTTTTTGCTCTTGTGCTGACGAAGAAAATTATATCACCATTCTGTTTATAATGTCGGTTTTGTATTATTTCATTTTCATTTTAGGTGAACTATTCGTGTTTTTGTTTTGTATCGGGCATGTACAAACACAGGATTCAACACACTAATTCAAATATATGATTTATGTCCATGTTAAATCAGGGAATTCAATCAACGACAAAATCTTTCAGAAATTCGTTAACATCACTTAAAGGTTTGCCATTTTTGGGGGGTTGATATAGGTCTTGAATAGATGTAAATGGTCTTCAGAAGTACCAGAAATGTACGAAAATGACATACTTTCTTCAAAATACCTCGAACTAAGAATATCACTTTCTATTTTTGTATGTCTTTTCTATAAAATAGTACCCAAAAAAGACGAGTCGTCTTTTTAATTTTAAAAGCGGATAATTCTGGACACGTGTTGACACGTGGCTCAAATTTCGACTATAAACTGTGAAGAATATTACTGATTAGCTTAGCTAAACCGTTTTTGAGTTCAAACGATTGTTCAAACGGATGGCGAACCTAATATCTGGTAGAAATATAAGATAAAATTAGGCAAACGAAAGTCACAACTGCAAGATATTAACAACCGCCTGTACTATTTTCAAACTTATAAATATTTCTAAACAGAAATCTGAAAGAAACGAAATCTTTCTTTGGTCTTTTCTTAGTAGACTGCAGCACTAACACGGAATTACAAAACGAAACACCAACATTTGCATCGATTTTATGCTTTTCAAAAATGTCCAGTCACGACATCCGACTCACCAGTAAACTGCATTTACTTGCTCATATGGGCTTTTATTAGCTATCTAGAAATATAAAATGCAACCAGAATCAACAGTGTAATTCCCCGTTGTTTGTTTTACATTAATCGGCAGTTCAGGTGTATGACCTATTTTCATAAACAGAAGGTTATCGGAGTATAGCATTTGTACATACTTTTAATTCTATGTTATCAGTAATTCTAAATTTCGTGGTCACATGAAATATTGATATTTCGCAATGAGTGATAACAAGTTAAATTTGATAGATAGAATACATTATATATCAACGCCGTAACAGGTAGCAGGATTTCTAAAGGGTTGATTGTTGTAAGTTAGGTTACATTTTCATATATTCCATACGAAGTCAAGGTTAATACAAAAGACACCTTGTGTTTATGATAGCTTTATTTTTGGTAAAAAGAAATTTGTTTCTGATATAATTTTAATATCGTTATTTCCTATATTGTATTCAAGAGAGTGTATAATTTACCTGTACCTTATTCCATATTTTACCAAGAAATATATTTTACATGACACGCTTTAATTGGTTAAAATAACACCATTGGGACGGACTTTGGTAGAAAACTATTCAGATTAAATGTAGACTAAAAATATCAAAAATACAAAAACGATACGAAATCGTAATCTTATTTCATTAAGGATAACAATATTTGCATTCAGCTCTACTTTTTAAATTGATCTATCCTTTCTAATAAAAACTTTTTGATTAGTTTTAAACTGTTTTTAACTTTTAATCTTGAAGGGGGTGTATCAGAATCTTTATTTGGGTCACGATATCAATCATTTTGGGTCATGATAATTATTTTTATACGCCCACATGAAAATTGTGTTTTGAAACTCCTTCAATCGTATACACTCAATTCTTATGATTTTGACACAACTTCGTGAATTTTTTTATCACCTCAAAGATGAACCCTATCGATAATCGAAACATACATTATTACTTTCAGTTCTTGATTTAAAAATGCCTGTGACTTTTAAACGGTTTCCAAATGTATTCGAATTGAAATGTAGAAAACTGTCAGTGGGCGTATATGTTACCTTGCTTGGAAAGCTATTCTTATAATTGTAGATAATGGAGATATCTAAGATCATATGGATAACAGTTTTGCTATTTACAGCATCATCATTTGGTAAATTTATTTCTTTTTTTATCCAAGGCCAATACTTCTTTAAAGCAACTGTGGATGATATTTTAAAAGTTCAAATCATGAAAAATCCGCACCTGCATTTTCAATTAAAATATCCTACAACTGAAGAAATATCGTACACGTAAAATAGTCGATATTTTTTTGTAACGTCACCATATTTTAGAAATAATTGCGATAAAATCGAAAAAATCATAGTATAACAATTACATTCATTTAAAAGTATTCTAATGTTTTGTATGTTTTTTGTTGTTTATCTCAAAGTATGCTATATCACAGTTTTCTTTTTCTTTTTTTTTTGGCTTTATTTTATAATTTTTCAACACCAAAAATAAAATATATAGAGCATACAATAGTACGCAACAAAAGTTAAAAAAAATATATAAAATTTTCAGAGTTACTTCCTTTCCTGTCTTCCGTCGTCGGCGTCATGGAGAATGAACGAATGTTTCTGACATCGTCTTTTTCTAAATTTTAATGTTTGATTCCATAAAATTGACATCACCAAAAATTACACAAGAATTGAAAAAAGGTTGGGATTTGAGATATCGAATATATGGTATTTTTCCATGTCATTTAAACACCTCTACTTTCTATTTATATACATATTAGCATTTTTATTTTCATAATTGAAAACAAAGGAACCCATCTTTAACTGGGTTTGTATTGTTTGTATTGAATCTATTTATAATTTTTCAGCTGAATTTCAGTTCAAGGTACCAACAGAAAACTGCGTTTATGGAACAAGTTGTTTTTTAACATGCGGTACAATAGATAGATCCAAAGATGTACAATTCCTTCATGGTGGTAAACCATTACTAACTTGTTTGGCAAGAAACTACTACGAGTCTCCATGTTTGATTGTACCAGACAGTCAAGGTCTTGGCTATCGCACATATTATGATTCCATGAAATCAGAAATTCAAATCAAAATAACAATTAAAGAAAACGATAACGCCAATTGGACTTGTAAGAATGGAAATCAAGAGGCAAGTGTTCACGTAAACGCTGGTTGTAAGTAAACTTTTTTCAGTATGACAACCATGTAGAAATAAGCTTCCGATTCTTCGCCCAGATTTCAATAAAATTACAAATATATTACAAATCTTGCTCTACATCATATGAAACAGTCATCAATAAAATAAAAAAATTGCTCTGGTTGAGTTTCATCACAAGAAGTACTTTGGATCCTATGATTGAAAAATTATCTACTTTGAATTCTTGAACGGGTTTAAACTGACTTGTCTCTTTTTAGATACATCGTTTGTTACAAAGTTTACCACTTGGAATAACATTGGATATGATCAGGAAGTAGGACAGGAAGTGAATTTAGTTTGTCAAGTTGGGATGCCTTATGGTAGTAACTACGACCCTACCATGGTATCAACGTCTATAACTAGAAATAGTGATGCCAGCAATCTTACTACCACTGTTTCTAAGGGGTATTTCCTGAATTACAGAGCCACAACTAAATTGAAATGTACAGATCACTTTTTTACATGTTTGACTTGGACTGGATTTGGTAAATTGAGTAGTAATACTGTAGAGGTAAATGTCAAATGTAAGTGGATTTATTGAATGAATACCATACTATATTCGTGACCAATGGGTTCAAATGGGGAGTAGTTTCCTAGTCATGTAACTAGATGGAGCAAAGTCTGTTATGAATCTTAGAAATCTGATTCCACTCAGTGACGGGGTGGATCGGATAATGCTAATGATTATGCTAATATAGCATCGTGATATGATTACTGTCAAATATATTGCACAAATTTTAATCGTCACTATGCTATAGTCGTTCAAAGCATTTATATTTGATTTTGTTTCTTTAAAATATATAATGGCTTATGAAGTATTCCCTTCTCTTTCAGGTCCATTGCAAATATTTTACGATATGATAACAACAAACGTAACAGTTGAACTGGGTAACCATAAAGGACGTTATTTAGAATTGTACTATTCTGGTTATCCAGTGACAACCAGATGGTATAAAAATTTTCCAGAAGGAGATAAGTTATTGAATTATATAGATGAAATCGGCGAACTAAATATAAGATCTAGAAAAGAGGTATTGTTTATTAATGCTAAGCTTGACGATGCTGGACAATATACAGTATATGTTCGACAGAATGATACCGTCCTTAAAGTTGTTTACCATGTGACTGTAGTAATGCCAACAACCATACACAAGACAAGCACTAATTCTCGAGATTTTTCAACATCCAGTAGAACTAATTCTCGAGATTTTTCAACATCCAGTAGCGTCACCACACACACGACAAGCACCATTTCAAGATCAGAACAACCAAAATCCAAATATACCACCAATGACTCGAGAAGTACCCAAATAAATAAATCGACAACGAAAGATTCAAAAATGGAACTTGTTACCAGTAAAGATAATAATGGAAGTTGTCAACAATTAAGTAGTTTAATGACTTTGGTGGTATTGGCGTTTTTATCATTCAACTTTTTATAGAATATATAACAACAAATCTTTGAACCCCACTATGCTTATTAGAAAAGTACTCAATTCACGGGCTATGAGGTGGAAAATCCATACTATTTCTTACCTATTACCATTGGCTTTGTATAAAATATCTATCAAATTACTTAAAATCCTAAATTGAATCACACAGATCCGAATATTTATGTCCAATGGGCAGAATTGTCTCAAAGGTCCTGATTGGTTTTTGTTGTTGATTTTCTATGATATTGCTCACAAATGCACACAGTGTTATATTGTTTTAAAAATGTGATCTTCTAATTGACACGAATTGTGTTGTTAGTCGATGCTGCACTTTCATCAGTAAACTAGATTATTTCAACCTTTGTCACTAATGCGTTTTTTTAGCATTTCACAGATGTTTGTGTTACCTCCCTTTATACGACAGTCGAGCTATCAACTAACTCAAATGTTATCTATCTCTCTTTCCATGTTGAGGGGCATTATGTTTTGTTTTATACATTATATATATGAAAACTATACAAAGACCAAAATTTAGAGAAATCTGTCCCTTAACATATCTGGAAATTTAATATTTATAATATCACCTTATTGTAAGTTCTCTCCGTTTTTAAATACTCCTTATATAACAAATTCAATTTGATCAAGTAATTACATAGATCGTCACATGAGAGCCTGACCAATACTATGCATCTGGTCAAAGAAAAAATTAAATGATGACGATGAAAATTTTATGTAAGGCCAATCGAACTAGACCACAGCCGGATATCAGCATCTGCATGTTTCTATTTCAAACAAAATATGAACGAGCATTCATAAACAAAAGAAAGAGGGGGGAGAGAAAGGCGTGTCTAAAAGTGCTACGGAGAAATACTTGCTTGTAAATTAACCTTTTTTTATTTTCAACCACTTCTTAATTATATATAGCCAAGTGATTTCTTTACTGGGAGATGCTGCTACTATAAAAAGAATTTGATGTACTTTGTTTAACCTTTCTTTCCAACCTCGTGTATTGGGAATCTCCTGATACCTCCATTCGCCCACCTATGGAACCAACACAGGTGTGTAAAATCAGTAATATTAATATCAATTGTGTCAAGATAAGACAAGACTGAATCACTCGTCGCTTACGTAAATAGTTCTACTCTTTACAAATCGTTGGAACCAGAGGTGTCCACCCAAGGACTTGTTACATCTTAGGACTAAATCTACGATTGTTTTATTGTTCACCACCCCAGTCGCTAAAATTCATGTCCAGCATAGATCCGAAGATTTTTCACACACTATTCAGGAAAATTAACTTTGTTTTCAGAATCGTTGTGAAATAAGAATGGTTATCTTCAAAGAAGGTTTTCATTCTCCAAGGAAACTCTAATTAAATGTTTTTCTATCCTATGAAAGTTTCTTGAATACAAATTTTACACTTTTCAATTGAAGGTTTTATTTGTCCCATGAGTCCAAATCATTTCAACAGTTTGTTTCTTTAATGTCTTTTATGGTTTTCCGTGTTTCTGATCACTCAATAGACCATTAGTTTATCATCTAATGACTACTTTTTCCTTAATGATTCAATAATTACTTTCAATGATAAAGCCCTCTTTGATAAGGCGGCCATCTTCTGCACCTAAAGAGGTTATATTTTCTACGTGTACATATTCTGAAAATAGCTTGTCAAGGAAGGCATCAATTCAAACACCGACTACATTATCAAAATCACTTTGTTGTCGCGTTTGTTGAAGGCAATAGCTCAAAACCGTTAATCGAAATATAATGAAATCAGGTCACATAGCTGTTAGTGGTTTTGGGTGCATGGGTTTACATCTTCTGACCATCCTCTCCACAAGAAAACAATCGCTCAACGACTTTCATTGGATAAAAATTTCGACTTTTTTCAGAAAATCCAAATCAGATTGGCATTAACACGAATTACCATGGATTACTATGATCTCAGTAAGGGTTTAAGTTGGAAAAGCACACCGTATGTTTGTGCAGTATGATATTAGGCTAAACTTTTGTTGATATTCTCAGAAAAGACCTCTCAAACAGATGTAAAAACAGAACCAAATTACTAACGAAAGGAGGCACTTGCTGTAAAAATTAAAAAACCAAATCTGATTAAATTGATAAACACATTAAGAATTGACGGTAAAGAGTGATTGAAGTTGGCACGTGGCTCCATTATTATGTAAAATAATGGCCTTTTAAAGTATCTAATGATCGATGGCTGTTTTACAGTTTATTTGAGATTTGAAAACTTCACAGGAAATTCTAAACCTAGGGACTATTCTGTCGCCAGGAATAGAGTAAAAGCAATAACAATACAAATACATTTCCTTCTTGTCGTAATAGAAATTTGAGTTGACTTGGTTGTAGGTGGCAATGAAGAAGGGAGCTTTACGTAGGCTGACCGTTAAGGTTCAAACTGGCGTCTCCGATCTGTAATTTTAACCCAACATTGAAACTTTCCATCGGAGATATTACAGTGTAAATTTGATTTGGATATTTTCAATTTTGACCCGAGAACATAGTATATAAATGAATCTATACACATGTTATGCCATTCACATTCATTCGTATATCACAAGATTGCATCAATAATGTGTATCCCCAAGTTTCGTGTTTCGAAATTATATGCTTACTTATCTTTTCGATGTAAAAGACAATGGATCATAACATGCCAAAGATATAGTCCCAGGCCCGTAACCAGACTTGATTGTTCAGAGGGGCATGTAATATATGCGGAGGGACAATGGTGTAATGGAATTGTTCGGTTGTCGGTTTTCAGGGGTAGGGGGAATCATTTTTACGCGGCTAGCAACGGAAAATTTTTACACGTGTGGAGATTCTTGAGACATAACCACGAGACATGTGAAATTGTCAACTGTAGCAGAACACATTGTTTCACAATGTCCAGAACCTAGTGGTAGAGGTTTGAAAAATAATTACCAAATTAATGAGGCGCTATGTAGTCTAGCATTAAATGTTTGGACAATTATAATTGAAGACGTTCAAGCTATAAAAAAGTTTGCTGGGAAAATCTAAGAGAAAATCATGTAATAGTAAGGATTTATTGGAATAAGGGGGATAATGCAATCGATCAAAGTTCCTGAAAGGGGTAATATAAAGAAAAAGAATAGGAATCCCACTGTGTCGGAAGTTATAGAGTGTTCTTACAAGGAACAAAGTAATCAACGTTCATTCTACTCTCTACTAACATCATTAGAATTTTTATTCAGTGTCAACAAAACAAACTTTCAATCTCTGGTTGTTTGAAAGCTTATTAACCTTTTAAAGCCCTAGCTAATATTCCTATCGCCCGATGTTGATCCGGTCGAAAATCAATATTATACATGTCTTATCAGTTGACTCCGGGGAGGTTTTGAAGCCTTCAGCTGAAACTGGTTTATCATTTGTCCATTTTATACGGTTACAACGGAATCAATCAGGCTTCTCGACGTGTTTTAAGATTGGTCAGAAAATGAAATTCGTTATAAAATCTATCTCCGGAATACATGGTTGCAATCATAGTAGGCAAACTCACTAAACATAGTGTAGTCCTTCTAGTGCACAAGACCTTTCCTGTTATTATACAAAATAAGATCACCCACGCTTCTTGAAATCTAAGTTTAAGCTCTTGGTTGCAAAACCAGAAGAGGATTCGCTGTCACACATGGTTTAGTGCAGTATGCTTATACTGTTGAATGACTTCATCTGTACATTTATTACATGAGATAAAAATCATTTTAAATTTTGTTCTTCCACCTAGAATATGTCTACATAAATTTGATGAGGTACCGGTAACCAACATGAACTGTATTTTTCTATTGTAATCCAAAAACATGTTCACTTAACTTTTATTGAACCGGATCAATAAAGAAGGTTAATGTCCTTTTAAAATAATAAAGTTCAGTTTAATATGTCTGGAATTTTGTTGTTTAGTAAAATATAATTTTTTATGGTTTCAATAAAATATACATATCATTACCATGTGATTGGGTAACATTTATAGTTTAGTGTCTGCAAGATTAATATTCAGATTTACCAAATTTTCATATTGTTAAATGTGCATGCAATGAATTCTATTTACGCTATTAAACTCTTGTTAACCATTATGGGGTTATGAAACAGAATTCGAAAATATGTTCGAATATGTATCAGATTGAGTGCGACTGGGTTTTGTACTTTTACTTGTGTTTTCTTCACGTTTTCCGGCGACAATATACAATTCTGGTCGCCGTAAAGTCGCAAATGGTCACAATCCGGTTTTACTGGGCTGTAACCGATATTTGTTTGCTTAAATAGGTCGTGAGAGAAACCTCATTCCTAAAAAAGGTTGCCAAACTTGCATTAGTTTATAAAGATATAATCATGTATATAGAAAAAAATTTTTTTTTTGAAAAACTGTATTATTTCACTTGCAGGTATAAGTGAAATCTGACAAAATCCTAGTCATTTTTTGATGATAAAATTTAAAAAGTAAATTAAGCTTCTTTAATCTTATCTATAGCTGCAGTCGACGAGGAAATAATCCTTATAAATTATAATCTTGTATTAACTAAATAACTATATCCATACCATATCTGACAGTTGTTTACCGACAACTAAACACGATGAAGAAAGCCTGTAAGGAATACAAGAAGAGGTAATCAGTCGAGTTAGAAATAATTCCAATTTTCACAGATTTTCTCTTACTATCCTCTAGGCTGTTTGTATCAGTGGTGATTAAGAAATTTTTAACCAGATATTTACATTCATTTTAATTACTACTGCTGCTTTTGGGTGTTATCTATAATATAAGAAATTATACTGGTTTGGTAAATGTCATTTTGTGTCATAGACGATATCGTTATGAATTAGTCACTCGGGAGTAGATTTAGAAATGTAATGTAGTTTTCGGTCCTACCTTAACTTCCTGCTCGTTAAAACAGTATAACTGAAGACCTCGGTGTATCGTGCAATCCGAGCAGCAGGAAATTTATCACCGAGTTACGACTACATCATTTACAAAAAAAAAAAACATGCTGAAAGGGGACGGTCGGCATTTTCGATAGTTGACTTGGGTCCTGGATATATGTAATAAACCTCCGGCAGTACTAGAACTGGACGAAAATTGCACAATCTCTTCAAATATGCCCCAAATTAGAAATTTTGCTATCTATTTTTATAATATGTCTTTTCTATATATGGCGTCTAAAGAAAGACTTTCAAACGCGGATAATTCTGGATACTTGGATTCGAAGATCGAAGGGCGGACATTTATGTTAGCGAGTAAGCATTTAGGATTCCCTTTAAACCGAAAAATCTTCTTTGCACTAACAAGTTCCGTCATCATGAGGTGTTGAATAGAACGCTATCTAATTCCGGA